TGTGTGTACACAGAAATATACATTTGTATGTGCTAAATCCATACTGATCAGCTTATCTGGCCACACAGGCCTCGGGTACAAACAGCAGCAGCACTTTGGTCCCCGATCCGCAGCTCAGCACACACAGGAGCCTCTGCCCCGTGCCCTTCTTCCCACTCAGTGCTCTGGGCACCGAGCGTGGAGCATCCCTGGGCTGGTGCCAGGGGCTGCACCTCTGATTCCCTGCCCAGCCTGGCGAGGAGGGGGCAGGGAGGGATCAGATGAGGTGATAGAAATCTCTGATTAGCTGGAGTCCCACTGCAGATTACCAAAGTTCCAGTATTTTGCCTTTCAGTGCTGTCAGTCGCCCCCAGTAACCTGTGGGAGTTGAGGAATTTCAGCTCCTTGCAGATTAAACCTCGAGAGCAAAGCTGTCACCCAGGTCTTTGTCATGCAAACTTGAGGCCAGGTTCAATAACACCCTGTTCCTCTTCTGCATTGCGGAAGCCTTGAAAAATTGATTTTCTGTTTTGCCACTGAGTTCAGTGGAACCAGACTTCAGCCCTCCAAGGGAATTGTATTCCTGTAGATTGTAGCTACTTCTGAAATCCTTAATTTCACATCCTTAAATAGCAAACTTGGTGACAGACCAGGTGTGGGTGCAAACTTTGATGGATGTTGTTGACCATTGCTGTGTTATTAACTCTCTTTATGGTCTGGGATACCCTTTTTTTCCCTTTTCAAAATGCATTTCACAGACTCGAAGTCTTAATCCAAAATGCACAGGAATAAATATAAATTTGTATATTGATCACCAGAAAAGGATTTTTAAGGGAGTTGATCACTGCTTATAGCAGGAATGAATTTTTAAAAGAAAGAAGAAATGTAACCTGTTAGTGTAACATTAATCCAGGGAAAACACTTTCTGAAGCAGCCAGAACTTGTTAACACAGCCAACACCTAAGGCAGCTTTGTGTCTTTAAGCTCTACTAATATTGAACAATAATAATTTTGGTGGAGGAAAGTCTGCCCCTCTCCCTGAACAGGAACAAGACAGATTATTGACTGCCATCTAGAAAGATGGATGCTGTGGCCCTTGGAGTCTATTAATATTTGATGCTGATGGATGTGAGCTGGCAGCCTGAGTTATTAATGGAGTTTGGTTCCTTGGACCTCACCCTCAATCCATGGGGGAGAATTAACCATAACAAGAACTGGATGCCCAAAGCTCTCAGGGTGCTGGGAAAGGCTGTCAGTTCCAGCAAAAATGGGTGTTTCTGAAGGATTTACAGGCATGGAAAGTCATAGGTGGGGCTGCTTAGGTCACTGCCACCATTCATTCTGGTGTAAAGGAGACTTTTAGGGTCCCAGGAATTGTATCTTCCATCCTCTATCTTTGCCATGTTGGGATGCTCACCTCAAGTCTGGATTTCCAAAGGCTCTGTGGTGGTAATTTCTGAGCAGGGATGAGGTGTGGGACACCCTGTGCTTGGTGGCACTGAGGTGGCCTCTCCCAGGCTGGGGGGATGCAGAGCAAGAGAGCAGGAATGTGCTGCTCCACACAGAGCAGGGCATTTCCCACAGCTGGCCCTGACCCACATTCCCTAAAGAGATTTTCCATTGTTTATGTTAAAGTCAGATGTGACCCCTGAAATTAGAAATAATCCAGTGGATAGATTTGGGGGTATGTTTTGATAAATTGGCCCTTCTAAGTGAAAATATTGAAAATGAAACACCTTTGAAACTTTGCGATGTCCATATAGGTCATTCTGATTGGGAACACAGAGATGGAAAATACCAAGTTACTTATAGCTCAATTTCTTAATATAGCTTTAACATTTCCAGGGGTATATGTTTGATTGAATTAGCTACTCCTTCCTAGCATGGATACCACATCCAGGCATTGCACTATCCTCATTAACCTCCCAATCTTAATAGAAAACAAAAATAATAATCAACATAAGGAGCACAGCTGTTGATTAATTTTACTAAATAGGATAGAAATACAAAGTACCATATTGCAAGAGTCAAGATTCAATACACACAATTTTAAATCAGTTTATTAGAATATATAACTCATTAACAGCTGGATGCATACACTGCAGCATTATCCACTTGGGCATGTGGTGAGAGGGAAGTGGAATTTACATATCTTTAACAGTACCTGAATGCATTTCATTTCAGAGGTCATTCTTCCAAATCAAGTTCAAAATGTTAATAACAAGGTGTGCATTTATAATTAATAAAATCTTAAAGCCAGTGCTATAGTTCAAGAGCATTTTCCTCTTATGTAATTAAGAAGTTAAGTGTATTTGGCAGTTGTCACTCAGAGAGCTCTGAAGGTCTCACTTGTCAAACCTGGGGATAGAAATTTCATTAAACCAGGTGAGGTTTTTTCAGTTAAGGTTTGTTTGCAAAGTACGTGAGGGGATGGTGGGCAGCCAGAATGCCCAGCTCTGTCAGTCCATAAAGCCAAGTACATTAAAGTAAATGCCAACACTCAAAGGCTTGGAACAAACAGCCTGATGTTCAGCTTGTGACAATCACAGAATCTTTAAGGTTGGAAAAGGCCTCAGAGATCACCAAGTCCAACCATCAACCAGCACCACCACTGTGTTCATCACTAAATCATGTCCTCAGGTGACATATCCCCATGTTTGTTAAAGATTTCAGGAATGGTGATTCCACCACTTTCCTGGGCAGCCTGTCCAATGCTGGACAGCCCTTCCTGTGAAGAAATTTTCCCTAATATCCAATCTAAATTTACCCTGGTGCAACTTGAGGCCATTTCCTCACCTGATGATCCTGTCACTTGTTACCTGAGAGACGAGACTGACACCCACCTCACTACAACCCTTTTTCAGGGAGTTGTATCCCTTTTCTTTGGGATAATCTAAAGTGGTTACAGAAAACCAGTGAATCCACTCCAGTTGTGCCTGGCCAGGGAGCACTGCCACCAGCACCAGCTGCTCTCTGGTCACAGAACATCAGCTGAGGCACTGGAAATCCTCCTGCTGCCTCCAGCCCTGGCCCAGATGGTGTTTTAGAGGTGTCAGGATGTGGGGATGTGGTTTTGGGGTGATTGATGGTTGGACTGGATGATCTTCAGTCTCTCCTAACCCTGATGATTCTGTGGTTGGTTAATGTGATTCCCCAATGGGTATTTTAACTCCATATCACTCTATTCTCCTTTCCTTTTCAAAGGAATTTTCTTTTCCTTCTGGATCACTAGTTCAAATCTAGATAAGGTCAGTTGTCATAGAAATTATTAGCAGTACCAGCAGTTCTGTGTAGTACATGAAATGAATTGGGAGTTTCATTCACACAGGATAAGGGTTCCTAAGTGGCACTAATTGGCTGTCTAATTGTCACACACAGGAGAAAGGCAGAGGATTGATTAGGCGTGGAGACTGAATGCCCCTCTGCCAGCCCGGGTTCCTGGAGCTCATTCCATAGGCATGCTGGCAGGGTAATGAGGGGCAGCCTGCTTTGGATTTTCTGGCTGTCAAGGCAGCATCTTTTCCTGCCAGGCCTTTCCAGGGGCACTTGTTTTACTCCACCAAGGTCAAAGATAGCATCTTTTACAAACAGTGCCTTCACTCAAAAATCAGAGACATGCAGGATTTACTTGTGAGCAGTATATTTTAACTGTTTCCTTTCCTTCACCCTGAAACAAAGTTTTTCTAAAAGATCTAAAATAGCATGAGTCACACTGGTGTGAGGCAGAACTGCTCCAGCAAAGCAGATGGGGGTTTATGGTGCTCAGAAATCTGTTCATATTTCCTTGTGCTGTCTGGGTGTCTGCTATATAATATACAGGCTCCTGGAGGTACTTGTCACAGCACAGGGAAGCATACATGGTGCACATTTCACTCCTGATAAATGGATCCTCCTATCAAACAGTGAAGCCTCTCACCTGCAAAAATACATTTTGACCAACATCTTTTCTCCTGAGCTATGGCACAGCTTACACCGTGCAATGGAGTTACTTTTTAACTTGTAGTACGTTCACTTTCCCTGGCATGCAACTAAATTATTTAAGTTTGACTCACTGAAGTAGTAAATTTAGGAGCTAATTTGCAATCTGAAAGTCAGGATTACACACAGAGGAAAAGGAAGCCAAAATACCTTGTATATGTTAATGTGTAGACCCAGCTGTGGGAGTCAGTAAGTTTACTAAGGCTTAAACCTCAATTAGTGAGGTTAAACCACAATTGCTTTAAACCTTATTGTGCTCACATTTTAATTCCCTTGTTGTATCAGGTGAACAGTATTAGTAAGAACTGTGTCTGTCCTTTCACCACACAAAATGATCAGTGCATACAGCACATCAGAATGTAGCATTAGAGCAGTCTGTATTTCTGTAAAATATAAGTATTTATTCTCCTTTCCCTCCCTTTGCCCACACCTAGAGCAGAATTAAGACAGAGACCACGTTTCTGTGTTCTGCTGTTCCCCTGTCTCTGCCACACACATCACTCCTGTTCTGCTTTTTCCTAAAGTCACAATCTCATGCAAATTAATTGAAAACAAATGCAGGTACCAACTACACATCAAAAAGGTTTGATGCACCTGCCACATCGTTTTCCTCTCTGCCAATCTGTGGAAGATGAGCATGTATGAGACCCTTTAGGTTTTTAACAACCCTATTCTTAGAATATATTTTCCAAGAACCGCAGAGCAATCTCTGCACGGTTTCAGACTGTATATTTTGTGATTAGTGCTTCGTAAGTGATGTTTTGCTTAATGATCTAACATCTGCTCTAGGAGGTTTGTTTTTGTAACTTCCCCACCTCCTGCTGAATGAATGCCAGAAACTTGTCCCTTTCCTCCAAGTCAATCAAAGCACTAATTGCATCATAATCATGGGAAGCAGCGGTGACTGCTCGAGTGCTGAAGACTCAGCAATCAACTCACAACACTCTGCTCACTGTTCAGAGTGAGAAAGCTTCCCTGTGCCGAGCTGGGAATTTCCTGCATGCCAGATTTCTTCAGCTGACTCTGACTTTTCTGGGTTGCAGGGAGATGACTGCACCATTCCCTGCGAGGCGGGCACCTACGGCACCAATTGCTCGTCGGTTTGTAACTGCAAGAACGATGGCACTTGTTCCCCTGTGGATGGGCTGTGCTACTGCAAGGAAGGTAAACAAAATTCACATTTAACAAGTCCCTGCCATCAATGCCTGTCCCCTTTCAAAGAGGCACAGCTGTGCAGTCAGGAACTTCACTATTTTCTTGTCCTCCCAAGTATCCCAGCTCAACAGGGGCTGGACTACAAGTCCAGTCTGCCCTGAACAGGGGCCAGACTTCTCTGCTCTGCTGCACAAATGTGTCAGAGAGCTGGGTGTGGGGGCAGAAGCACTGCTCCTCTCCAGGGGAAATGCAGAACAGTCCTCTGGCTGCTGGGTTTTTAGGCCTTTGCTGCCCTGTTTCTCCCAGATTCCAAAGCCACTGGGCACAAGAGTGGAGGCAACTTCCTAACTATGTGTCCTGCAGCCCCTGGCACTGGGCTGTGCCTGGCCTTGGTCATCCTCACCAGCCCTGACCTGACTCCTGCCTGCCCATCTCCACCTTGGGCTGGTCTCATTCCTGCTGCCCTGGGCTCCTGGCTCATCCCAGCTGCCAGCCCTGCCCTTGGGCCCTGGCTCTCTGCCCTTGGGCCCTGGCTCTCTGCCCTTGCTGCCATCCTCAGCTGCTCATTATCCTGTACCCTGACATGGTGACACCCCGGCCTTGGGCAGGTGTCCTGTCTCCTGAGCTAGCACAGGGGTTAGGTTGTGGCTCTCATTTATTTGGGGAAATAAGAAGTCTTGCCTGCTCCAAGGGGACTGACATGTTTTCTTCCCACACGTGTCTATAATTCCCTCCTGGACAGTGGTGAGCACATCCCATGGATCCATTAAACACCTGAGAATTCCTCCAGTGCTTCATGGCACAGCAGCTCTTCTGTTCCCCCAAAATCCCAACATGAGCTACGCCTGTATGACATACTAAAGCCCTAAAACAGAAGTGAGGCAAATAACAATAAAATCTGGCATTTCAAACATGAATTAATGGATCACTGTAGAACCCCATTTAATGAGGGTGTATAAACCATGAGTTACTGCTCAACTCCATGACACAGAGCTGCAGTGTAATGAAAGTCATTGTGCTCCTGGTAGTTAAAATTTGAGCCTTAATGGCTAGAAATGATGGCATTGGTCTTATTTTAAGTATAATACCTGTTTTATATCTTTATATTAAATAGCATTCTCAAAAAAAGAAAAAAAAAAAGAGGTAAGAAACAGGCAGCACCACATGAAAAGTTCTTGCAGTCCTGTAGGTCCAAAGGTCTCCAGCCTGACAGATAGGGACTGTACCAGCAGTTCCCAGAAAGGCATCAGACACCTAAATCTGGTTACAGCCAGCACTGTGGTACCTCCATCTGTGTGCAGAGATGCTGGGAGATGGAGCTGGGAGGTCACAGTGAAAGGGTCAGTCTTTGTCCCCAAGTCAGTCTTAATTTCCACCAAGAAGCTGCTCCTAGAAACAAAGAGCTGCAGCTTGCCAGGTGCCTGCCTTGCTGTTTTCATGAAAACATCCCAGATGCTGTTTCTCCCCTGTTTCCTCAGGGTGGCAAGGAGTGGATTGCTCTATTCCCTGCTCGAGTGGAAGCTGGGGTCTGAACTGTAACCAGACGTGTTCCTGCAGCAATGGAGCGTCCTGCAGGCCAGACGATGGCTTCTGCCTCTGCTCCCCGGGATGGCAGGGGGACTTCTGTGACCAGCCTTGTCCTGTGAGTGCAAATAACAATTTGGGGTGGTCTTCCACCCCCGTAAATCACAGTCCCCATAGCTCTGCTGAGCAGAGACCGGGGAGGATCTCAGTTTGTGTGTGATGTCTGAGGAAATCAAGTGCAAATAACAGATTGGGGTTCTAGCAGTCAACTGTATTAGACTTTGCACTGTATTTTATCAGAGCTATTGCTGTGTTATCTGCATTTTCCTGAATGTAATTTTTTAAAGTGATTCCTCATTTGGTTCTGTATAGAAACATTAGGCACTGAGTTTCTGTCTTCTCTGTATGTTAATTTAAAACACACAACTCAGCATTAAGAGGGATGTGATAGATGATTTTGCACATTTCAGAACAAAAAGCTGATCACTGAGAGGCTTTTTTATTTATATTTCTGAAGGATGGAACATATGGCCTTAATTGCAGTGAGCGTTGTGACTGCAACCATGCAGATGGGTGTGATCCTGTCACTGGGTACTGCTGCTGCCTTGCAGGCTGGACAGGTAAAATCAGCAATTCCCTTTGTAAACTTTGGGTGTTTTGGTTCATTTTGGGGTTTGGGGGGTTATATTGGCTTGTTTTGCTTTGCTATTGCATCAGTTATAGCCCTGGACTTGTGACTGCAAACTTCTAAATAATGGATTGAGACAAGATCAGCTGAACTTGCCCATATATAAATCACTTCACTCATGATGGTGACAATAATTGGCATTCATTAAATTTGTATTCAGATGAGTTGAAGATGGCTCCAAACCTGCAGCCAGATGTTAGCCTTCTGTAAAAGCATCCTCAGGAGGGATGCAGATCATCCATAATCCTGCAGAGTTTTTCTCCTTGAACTGCCCTTTCCACAGGGGTGCAATTGTGGGACGGTGAATCCCAGGACCATCATACCTGGGATGCAGACAGGGCATTTCTGATGAGGCATTAGAGCTGCTCCATCATACAAAACTCTGAATTTTCCCGTTTTCCAATGGTTCTTGTCACAGAGTAGTTGCAGAGAGCAGATTAATGCTGGTTTGACAGGGCTGTTGTGATTACACAGCAACAGAGAGGAATATTCAGTGAAGTTGGAGAGTCTGGGCTGGAGTTCTCAGTACAATTAGACCTGCACTTGACTCCACACTGATGTTCTCTTTCCAGCTTTTGACAGCAATAGGAGGCAAGTTATTGACCCAACCATTTCACACTTTGCTGCCGAAAATGCTGGTTAATCTCTCTCTGCTCTCTGTTGAGGCCCTGGGTGGAAATAAAGTTCTGTTCCAAATACTGCAGAACCATCAGTGGCACTGACAGTCAAAATGCATTTATATTAACAGCAAGTCATTCAGAAAATTTAATTGTTTTTCAAACAAGTACAAGTTGGAAGGATGCATGGAGCAAGGCAAACTGATCAGGCAGCCAACATTTGGGATAGTGTCACCTTTCCCATTGATTTATGCCTTAAACCAACACATGCCTGCCTCCTTTTTCTGATGGAGAGGACGTCCCCCAGCAGCCCAGATCCCAGGAGCATGAAGCAAAAGCAATGAAATTATGCTTAAAACATACAATGGAAATAATCTTTAAAGAATTAAATAAAATGTAAAAATACTAAGTTCTACATATTGTGTACAACAAAGCTACTTTTCTAAGATATTGGACATGTAACCGTGAAAAGGACATTTTTCCCCCAGGAAAATCCATTTTATAAGCTCACTTGCATCCCCTCCTTCATTCTCTTGCCTTCCTCACTGGCTGGGCAGCATTTATCTTTCTCTGAACCTCCTTGCCATCAATATATCCATCTATCAGGCTTTAAAACTCTATTGTTCATTATTGATGATCAGCAGAGAAACAGCTGGTGGATTTTCCTGTAGTCACTGTGAGCTTCTTCAAGGGAAAAAAATGGCTTTTAAAAGTAGAGTAATTTGAAGAGAGATATTTATATACACCTACTCTAAAAGTTTATTACACATCTTCTGGATGTAGCATTCCAGAGGAAACTGCAGGGACTGACCTTTGCAGGAAATGCAGATTGAAGGTGTGGCTTTTTCTCAAAGGCATTTGCAGCAAATACTTTGTGCTTACTCCCATGCACATCTGTAAATGGCCATCAAATGCAGATACTAATTAGTTAAAGGTAAGAATAATTTCTGATGTCCTTCTTTTAATTTCCATATTGAGCAAGGTAAGTGTATATTAACTTGGAGGGGGTTTGCTGCAGCCTAAGCACTTTATCCATCAGTGTGCTCCTGCAGTTCTTTTCTTCAGGATCACATTTCAAGGAGGAAAATATTATATCCATATTTGAGACCAGGTTGGAGTTGCAATGGTGACAGGGCTCTGTAAGGTGGAGATGTTGACAGACAGAACCAACACGTATTTTGTCAATTCTGTTCCAATGTTTTTTCCACTTGGCTTGGCACCAGACACAAGGATAAATTCTGCTCCTACCAGTTTGAAAGTATGTCATTTAAGAAACTCTTCAGCTAGATAATTATATTTTCATATGAAGGAGTATGGCATCAGTGAAAGATTAATCTTATCTGCAGTTGTTGTGAACTGGGCCATGATGTGTATTGCGGTGCATTTTATTAATATGAGGTGATAAATAATTCAGGCTGAAATTTTTGCTTTCTGATTTTGGTACTAATTAGGCATGGCCTGAAAAATATCAGAAAAGTTCAGGATCATGGAACTTCTGAAGGTTCTCCTGCCCACTCACACTAAACAGAGAATTCACGTGGCTTTCTGATCCTAATAGCCCCAACACTTCATCTGAAACAGCATATTCTGTATGTTCATCCCAGACGTGGGACTCCCTCTTGATGTCTGTGTTTTATGTGAAGATCAAGGGGAAGATTGAGCCCATTTCCTTTAAAGTGGTTTCAAGATGTTACTGATATAAACCTTCAGGGACTGATAGATGGGAACAGCATGGAGGAGGACTGGCAAAAGAGGGAAAAAGTCCTGTCCAGAGTAGCATACAATGTAAGGTAATGGCACCCTGCCATCCTTTTATTATGTCATGACTGCCACCCAAGACTATTATTCAGGACAATGACCTTCTGTGGATACCAGCTGGGGAAGGTAATTTTCAGCAGCTGAGTGTCCCTGGCAGATGGGAAGATGATGAAGAGATCCCCACGTCTCAAGCAGGAGATCACAAAGCTGTGCAAACCAGCTGGGTGCATAAATGAGCACAGAGGCAGCAAGCTGCTCCAGCTGTGCACATCCCCTCCCTGGCAGCTCCCTGGGGAATTGCACATGTGCAGCCAGAGGCAGGGGCTGGATCAGCTCTGGGGGTGGTTGTACCTGGTGTCACTGCTGCAAATCACCAGCCAAGTGGCACGTGGGGCCACCAATGGCTTTGGAGATAGCCCAGCAAGAACAGGAGCCCAAAACTACATTAGCAAAATTCTCTCGTGTGGTAAAAACAAAATGAAACTTGAAATGTTGGCCAAAATCAGATCTGTGACCTGCTGATGCCATGCAGAGCTGAATTTCCCTCCACAGGAAGGAAACAGGGGATGCAGTGACACTGAGAGCCCAACCCTGCACTGGATGGATTTCTCCAGGTTGGGCATGTGTAACTTCATGTGTACAAACAGAACCCTGGAAATCCAAACAAGAGATGCTCGTATCTACTGCTGGGTTAAAAAGGAAAGGTCTTGCTCTCAGAGGACCGAGACTTGGTTGTTCAGGCTGTTTTTTAAGGATTAATAAGGATCTCTTTCTCCACCTTTGATTTAGGTACAGACACTTCTGTGCTTGCAGCTCTGTGTGTGTGCACAGGTCCCTTAGAGCTCCCAACACATCAGACATTTGTGGAAGAGGTGTTATTTTATGTACACTCAGGTTGAAATGAAAATGCTCAGTGCTAATTACGTTTGGTTAATTAGGGGTCCTGCACACACTGAATCCACAGAGGGAATGGAAACACAAAAGTGCTACATTGTAGAGCAGCTCCATGTCCTTTGCAAGCAACAGATCCTGGAGAAGCAGGATGAATCTCACCTCTCCCAGGTGAGGGAGATCCAGGCATTGCACTATCCTCATCAACCTCCTAATCCTAATAGAAAAAAAAAAAAAAAAAAAAAAAAAAAAAAAAAAAGAGGGAGATCCTCTCCTGGATGCTCAAGTGACAATGACAACTTTATAAATTTCAGTTTGGCTCCTCTTAATTACTATAATCTGAAAGTGGACAGAGAAAGACCAGCTGCCCTGGTGGCCTTGCTAGGTGAGCAGGATGGCAGTGCTGCTGTGCCAGATGTAATGCTGAGGTTCTGGAGATGACAGCTCCAGCTGCATCACCTGTGGGGATGCAGGATGAACTTCAAACTCCCTTAGCCTGATCCCAGCTCAGGCAGCTGCTGGCAGCAGGTTTTGTGCCAGAAATGGCTTCCTCACAGATTCCAGTGGTTGAAACTGTGTAGCCTTTAGCTGCTTCCCTCAGTAATCCCTCAATAATTAAATTAGAGCTGCTGGCCTGTCCTCTGATTTCTGGAGGTGCTTGACCAGAGCCAGGTAAGGTTCCCTGGGAAGACAGACCCAGGTGTTGCCCATCCTGCCCCCAAGACCTGAGTCCATCCATTTCCCACTCCCAGACTGACCACAGGCAGAGCCACAGGCCTGGCTGCTCCTCATGCTGAGCTCTGCTGCTCCTGAGATGAGCCCCTGTGCTCCAGGTTAATTGTGGCAGTGTGTGTTTTGTTACCCTTTCAGCTCTTACACTGGGTTTAAACGGGAAATGATCTATTCCACTCCTTTAAATGCTAAGGTCAGTTAAAATCCTGTTTATCTGAATTCCTTTAATCTGAAATGCTGTCTTATCTGCATCTTGTTCTGCCTTTTTTTCTTGTGTGGTGCTCTGGTTTTGCAGAGTTGCTGTGGCAATGGTATCTCGGCTCCCCACTGAGCTGGGGTACCCAGAGGCTCCTCTCAGTATCCAAAGTTTATTCACTATATTTTAACATCCCAAAGAGGTGTGGGGAAAATTAGCCTGGTGCTGTAGATATGAAATGGAAAACATAAAAGTGTGTATCCCATAGTTAATCATAAAAGAAGCCCATATAGATTTTCCTTAATTAATCAGGATGGCAAACACAGGTATGCAAATGATGCATGCTGCTGAGGAACAAACATCTTATTACCTTGGTGCTTTACACCTCCAGGCTTCATTCCTGGCTCATAAGAGCTGCCTCCCTCTTTGCTGTTGCACAGGAAATCAAAATACACATTTCACTCTCCTTTACAAGCCCAATCACTTCCCCACGTTGCCAGAACAGAGCTCCTGATGGTCCCTGCTCGTGTCCAGCTGCTGTGGGAGTCTGGAGCTGCAGGATTTTACCTGGGGGTGTGAGGGAGGTGCTGCTGGGCACAGCCCTGGGCAGCTCCAAGGGACCAGGCTGCAGGGCTGGGAACATTTGCAGGCTGGCAGTGACATCTGCACTGTCACTCAAACACAGAAACGTGTTTCTTGACTCCTGTGGACACATTAATTCAGGAAAACTGATAAGCC